CAATCATAGAGAGGCCAATAGCATTGGTAGCAACTCTCTACAGGCTATGGTGCCGGGTCCGCAATGATCAAACCAAACGCTGGTCCAGCAACATACAGCATGAATACCCATGGGAGAGAGCAGTCCCTGGAACTGAGTGTTTGCAAGTGGCCCTCAAACGTTCCTTTATGACGGAATACCATGCAGCGCACAACAGAACGATCATCTCTGTCTTACTAGACATGTCAAAATTCTATGACAGAATTGACTTGATCAAGCTGGCTGAACGGTGGCTCGACTCCAGCTACCCTGCAACCCATGCAGCACTGGCGATACAAGTCTATAGTGGGCAGAGGATCCTTGAAGCTGAAGGAGAGGCATCACAGCCTTTGTGGGCGACCCATGGCATTTTGGCAGGTGACCCTCAGGCACCTTTGGCAGCAAAGGTATACCTCCAAAGAGCGCTCAAGGAATTCCACAAAAAGTACCCTCAGCTGCACTCCGACCTATGGATCGACGACTTCAGTTTTGATGTTGTTGACAGGAACCCTCACAACGCAGCAAGAATAGCAATACAAGCATATGAGTTTGTCAAAAAAGAGTTGGAGACAGACAACCTCAAGGTTTCCGCTCAGAAGACCGGGTTCATTGTCTCAAATGCCAGTGCCAAAAGGATCCTTCAAGATCAGCTTCATGAAGGTGGCCCTAAAGTGCACGACGTGATGAGGGACCTCGGCATAGACTGCACAGCAGGGAGGCTCAGAAGGCTTCAATCCATCAAAGGACGCCGAAGAAAAGCAGCGCGAAAATCCCTGAAGTTGAACACCTTGAAGATTCCCAATCAAGCCATACGCTTGAAGCTGTACAAAGGGAGCACCCTCTCCGGCATCAACTGGGGGCACAAGGCTATGGGGCTGGCTCCTCAAGTCCGCAAGAAGCTCCGAGCAACGATGTGCAGGCAGATGGGAATGCACAGAACAGGGAACGCTGACATCGTGTTCAGCATGCAACCTCGGCATCGTGATCCAGACTATGGGGCCTTCGCAGATCAGGTCCGGCTTTACAGACGATTCTATGGGAATTGGCCTGAAGCCTTGGGCAAAGATCTGGCCAGAGCTTGGCGTGTTCATCGAGCCAAACTCCAAGAGGCCAAGTATCCCTGGCAGCATGCCAAAGGTCCAGTCGGAGCCCTACAATGTTACCTTGTGGAAAGAGGCTGGAGCACTGACAAACATGATGAATGGACCAAACCTGCTCCAAATGGTGAGCCTGAGTTCAAGCTGAACATGCATGCTGACTGGTTTTTCCTGAAGCAAGAGCTGGAACGGGCGCACAAATGGGAGACGGTCATGAAGCTCAACCAAAGGCAGCATTTGCAAGAAGTTCAGATGCCCTTAGACTGGTTGCCATGGCGAAGACTCTCCAGGCAGCTCAACAAGATGCAGAACATTGCCCTGCAGACGTGGCGTCAGGGCTCCATTTTCACCAAGTGCGCTGATGGTGAGGCATCCAGCCAACTCATGTGCCCTCACTGCAAACAAGCAGCCGCCATTCTGCACCTTCTATGATTGTGCCCGGAGACTCAGAAGGCTTTCCCTCCTCTTGAAGCCGCTGACAAGCAAGAAATTGAGCAGGGCATAAACCTCAACTTTTGGTTGCAGGGACTTTTGCAGTTGCCCAACTACCAGTTGTCCACAGACAGGTGGAGCGGCGGTCCAGTCATGGGGATCCGGGACAATTCATGATGAGGTCAAACTGCAAGGCCCTGAAGTAGTGACCATAGGCCTCAGCCTGACCAGCAGTGACCCTCGTCTGAAACACTACGTTGTGGCCATTGTGCACCATACTTTGATTGACGGGCAGCTTTACCGCAAAGGTGCGGTCGCAACAATACTACCAGGCCGGCAGTCACTTGAAAGAGCATGGTTCTACGGGCTTCGTATGATAGCCCACTATGTGGATTTGCAGCTGCAGATCAAGGTGCAGGTGCTCTCGACGAGAGCCTGGGAGGCGTGGGTGCATGGAAAGCACCAAGAGAGCTTTTTCGATCTCAATGAGCTCATCACGCATGATCAAAGATGCAGGATTCGACCTCTCAGCCTGACTCAGAAGCAGGTCAATGACATGCCCTGTGCATACACATTGAAAGCAAGACTTCAAGACGCCAACAAGGTAGCCCGAGAGATTGCTTTGTCCATCAAACCAGTAGAGCTTGAGGCAGAATTGAAGCTGACGGATCGTCGCTATGTCCGGATAGCTCACCTTGCAATCAAGAGGATTAGACATTTGTTGGAAGAGAAGGACCATTTTCTTCACCAAGCCAGACAAACTGGGAAGGAAAATCGCAAGAAGGCTAGAGACACCAAGGCCCAACTACTCCTGGACATTGGCAACCACCAAGGTCCAAGGCAGCATCAATGGGCCCCGAAGCAACGAGGTCTCCAGTGCTTGAAATGTCAGAAGTACATCACTAAGCATTACAAGATCGAAGCGCTTCAGAAGGTCCAGACAGAAGAATGCCCGGCCGCCCAAGCTAGCATAGTGAAAGGGGGAGAAGCAAATAGTCAGCCAACGAAGGCTGAACTTTTGAAGCAGCTTGCAAATGGCAGTTTCCCAGGCATGTCAGACCACACTTTTGAGCTCCAGGCTCACTATGTGGTGTGCAGAAAGTGTCACTGCCGAGTGCTCCGAAACTCTGCTCGAGAAAAGTTGGAGAGCCTGGCACGAGCGCCGTGTTGGGACCAAGCTTGGGAACCCGAGCAGTGGAGACGGCACAAGAGCCACAAAATGTGGCGTGTTGGGGCAAAGCTTTTTTTGCCATGAGTGCAAGTCGCACGCGGTTCACACCAAAGGTGGATTTGAGCCTAGCAAGGCGCTTGGCAGGGCATGTGAAAAGGCCACAACATCCACGCTGCCGTCCCTGTTCCGCAGCCAAAACGGCTAGGAACCATGCAGTCGCAAAAGAGACGAGAAAAATATAAGTAATGAATGTTAAATTGTACCAACAGGATCGTCGTGGGTATTGTACGACAATCATACAGGGTGACAGTACTGGGAACAGGCATACTTGCCCTGACCGTTTGAAGAGCAGACGGGTGAAGTGGTTGAACATATCATATTGATATAACATTGCATCATATCACACATTTTCGTGTGCGACCCTGTTCTTTTAGGTTCCGACTTTGATTCTTATGTGTGTTTATGCTTCTTAGGTGCTGCTGCCATAAGGGCGGCAATGACTGGCAACATGGAAGGTTTGCGAAGCGACTGCAAGCGCTGGGGGCTGAGTATTGGAGCTTGCAAACCTAGAGACCCCCGCTGCTGCATAAAGTTCATGTCTTTAGCGTCACAGCTGTGTAGTGAATGGAGGTTGTGGAGGAAGGGCCTTTCGTATTTTTCCTTTATTTTATTTTCAGAAATTGCGTATGGCCGCTATAGGCTATAGCTTATACCCGAACTCACATGCTGCCACCTGGTGGGATCCGTCGTGTACTTCAGGGCCACAAGTCTCCTTGAAGACCAAATCACTCGTGCGAGTGATGATCGTACTGGCAGAGAACCAGAAGCAAGCGAAGAAAGCCAGAGTGACTTGGGCTTCAGCGTTCTCAGCCAAAACCAAAAACTGCGCGTTTGTTTTTATATATTTATTTCTCCATGTTGCACATTCTTGCCAACAGGCTTAGTGGCTTAGTGGGCAAAAGGTGAAACATGTTGAAACTCAGAGGTCGGTTGATGGTGCTCGCTTTTCTAGAGTAGCGTTTGGCAATACATGTCCATGCATCTCAAACGGTTTACTAATATTGATGATAGCCTAGCATGACCTTGTTGGGCATTTGGGTGGCTGCGCTCAGAGTGTCAATTGTGTGACTGGGTACGTTGCACAGGCCAATCTCCAGCCCTTCCCACGCGTCGCGCGACGTCGCACACGTGCAGCGCCACGTGGCAGGAATGGATCAAGTCTGAAAGCCTCTTGGGGAAGACCATCGAGTTTCGTGTGGTTTTGAATACTGACCTTGGGAGTGAGCTTCGGGCTTTGTACCTGCAAGGCTTCAAAAGCACATGATGTTGGCAGCAAACCAGCTGAAGATGTTGAGGGGCCGGATGTGCCCGGAAGAGTGTCAGAAAAACGTAGATTAGATATTGTGATACTGAAGTTGTCAGTTTCCCCTGCATAACAATTGCTGCAGCAGCTGGCGGTATTCCTTGATTGAAGACCTTTGGCTTTCCCAAGGCACTAAACAATTTTGGGCTGAAAATTGCCAGCCGAGTCAACTTCCAGCGAATCTGACGTACGGGCTAGGGGTTAACTTCACGTGATCAACGTGTTTTGGAATGTTTGGCTTTGATATCCCACCAAAGCTACCAGTTCGACATGGAGAGCTCAGCCTTAACTTTGCTGGAAGTTGTTGCTCTCAGTCAAATGTCATGGCTGCAGAGAAAAATCTCTGGCAGCTTTTCATGGACCTTGTGGACCTTCTGTATGTTTCAAGCAACAAACAACTTTATTGAGAAGAATCTTACAAAAGAGGAACATGAAACACTTTGTCTTGGGCCGGAACCAACATGTAAGCTGTTGGAGGAATCTGGCTTAAAGGCACACTCAACGATGCTTCTTGATGGCCTGTGGTTGCTCCAAGAGCTTTGCCATTTGTTTTTGGCATCCATCGTTTGTGACTCTCCACATACTAGGGGCATATCTTTGATGTAAAAGAGCCTCGTTGACACCAGCGTCGTTGATTCTGCATCATTTGGCTGAATGAGCAGCTTGGCGTCTCCATCAACGCAGACAGCGTTCGAAAAAGAAACCATTTCTACGTTGGCGTTGATGTCACTGCGGATATTTAAAGTTCATTGCTATCCAACAATTGTGACGGGATCTTTTTGTTCCGACATGTTTGAGAGATTTTGGAACACAATCTATTTGGTAGGTTCGAGGCCATCGCTAGTAGGTTGGAATACAATGAAGACAGGAAAAACTTTGATTTTCTGACTGCCCCCAGCTCTTGTCAGTGGACTCCCAGGACCCACCGAGGGGTCCATGCTTGCCACAGAGGCAGCACTGTGCGAAGTGAAGAAATGCAACCGACACCATTGATGTGCCTTTGACTTGTTTCTTGAGACAAGGAATCGATAGATATTTCTTCCATTAACCCCAGAGGTCCTAGCAGCCAGCTAGCAGTCCTTTCTCAAGACAGACTGTCCTAGATTCCAGAGCGACTGTTCAAGCAGTGTGCCTTCATGTCCAGCTTTCATCTCCGAACCGCGAGATTCCACTGCTGCTTCAATCGGGCACCTTTGCTCCACCTACTGGAAGACGTGTCCAAGACCCTCTAGCTCATCCAACCTGCCGCTTCAAGGGGGCACCTCTCTCGTATACGTTGTAATTATACCATACCCAGAATTGCATAGAATTGCAACAATTACAGTTTTGCTGTGGTGACTCATGCCTTTGCCGTCCAAGCTACCTACAAGGGGCCTTGATTCATTGTTGGTCAGCAACCAAACGACCTATATCAGAAGGGGGCAGCCTTAGGAATAAAATTGAAGGGGGGTACTGAGTCTCAAAGTAATTGCCGTCAATTAATTGCCGACATTGCCGACATAGGATGTTGGGGGGGGACCCCAAAATTTGTCGGCATGAGAAAATGCATGGTCTGACAGCAGAGAGGTAAACACTCCCCACCAAAAATAAATACTAATTTCAATCAATTGTGAGTGGGGGGGGAGGGAAAACAACTTATTGGAAGAAGGTGGAGAGGTAAGGTACCTATGAATTAATTTTAAGGATGGTAAAACAAATGAAGAGAAGAATTGATGGTGTGGAGAAGATGAAAGAAACAGAGGGAAACAAGGAATACTGCTTTGTTTGCCCAAGGCTTTTTAAATGCTCCTGCTGTTTTGCTCAAAGAAGGACATTCAATGAAATGAAATGAAACACATAGCAAAGGATTCAAACAGAAAGAAACAATGGAAAGAAGAAGAAAGAACATTGACTAGGAAAGAAGAAGCTTGCTGGAGGAAAAAACAAGCGCCATCAAATGCATTCAATTTCTGTCAAACATTGTGCAATTAATGCTTGTGTGGTTGAGTGCTTGATCACCCCAACAATTACTTAACTCGAGGCCCCTTAATTAATTTCCAGATCCAGCTACGAACCATCATAAACACTCCCCTTCATTGCCAATTTACTTGCCACGTAAAAAATCAATTTACACTGGTCTAGTCTCAATTTAATTAACTCAAAAGGCATGCAAATTAAAAAAAAAAAAGATTTTGGTGCAGACCTAGTCCCTCCCGTAAGGCAGGGCGCATTATATCAGTATTTTCAAGAAGGACCATTTTGGGGAGCGTTCGCTTGAAGCAGTGCACTGTAGGAGACAGCACGTGGCAGACCGGTCGATGTCAGGCCGAATCAGAGCATAGCACTGTTGACACCTGGCAGTGGGCTGATGACGAGGCGAAGGAATGTCTTTTTAGTTCTCCATTTCTGGGCATCGCTACTAGGAGCAAGGACGCTACTAGGGGCTCCTGGCATCGCTACTAGGAACAAACAGCTACTAGTAGATGTGTTTGTACACAGGTTCCAGACGAGCAGCTGCTGGAGCCGCCCAGGCGGGCTTCCAAGAGCTGATCCAACGGCTAGCATGAAGACACTGAATATTTGGTAGAAACCGAAGATGCTGCGAATTACTCTCTTCCAATACGAGATATCTCATTCTGCCAGGATCCCACAGCGCTTCAATCTCTCTCTCCTCCGTGATAGAAAGCAGGTCTGACTGTTTGCTTGCCATTGCCGTTCGAATAACATTTGTTGCCAAAGCCAGCAGGAGTTCTCTCCGGACTTGCAATCTGGACTGCCGGAGGTTTGCGATGATGGATTGAAATTAGGAAGGGAGTGCGGCCGATGGAACAGCAAGACTTGCGCTTGTCAACCTGTGAGTGCCTGCGAGTGCGACTGACATATTTTTGAGGAGATATCCTTCCGACCAGGGCTTTCCTTTGGTCTTAAGGCGCATACCCTCTTAAGACGTGTCATGCACCGGAGATGCAGGTCCCGGACGTGCTTTGGGAGCTCGAAGTTCCAGATGAGGACAACAATCAATAGTCCTTTCATAGACTGCAGATGTTCATTTGTGGGAGCTCTTCACTCGTCAAACAGCGCAAGCAGCCACTTTGAAACAGGAGACTTGCTTTGAAAGCTTTCCGCACACATGCCCAATGCCGCATGCTTGGCTCCACACAATAGAGTCTAAGTCTCTAAGTCTAGGATTGAGATTCGAGTTCAAGCAAGTTCGGCAGCTGTGGTGGAATCGCAGCTTTGCTGCCTGCGTGCAAAGCTAAACCTGACACGATCGAGGCCACAGGTCAGAAAGATGGGGACAGTTCGCGAAGAAATGGTGATAGCTCAGGCCAATGATTTGTATCACTAACATTATTTTGCTTTTGATTGTTTAGTGTGTGCGTCAGGAGTGCAAGCCTTTGAAGGTGATTGCGGGGAGGACTCAATGCTGCAGCCTAATGTACTTCATACGTCTGCATACCGCCCTGTTGCAATTGTTCAGCCCTTGGCTTTTGTAGGACGCCAAAGATGTGCCATGATGATGCCGCACAAGTCACATCCTTTGCAGACAAGGCGATATGTTTTGCTTGAGAACAAGAACTCAGTAGTAATATATATATAGGATCCAATAGGCAACCGTGCAATATCGTGTAACTAACGGCAACAGGTCGCGGACTTGATGGAACGGGTCTCGAACCAACGTCCACATGAGCTCGATGGTGCGCATGTGTAAGAACCTTTCATGAGTAGTGAAAAGCACATGACAGCTAGTGGAAGTGAGATTGAAGGCTGCGCCGGTTTGTGCATCATTTGAACTACTGTATGTATCTTGTTTTTTGAAGTGTGGATGTGGGCAATCGATGAGCGATTGGTGCTTGAGTCAGGTACCATACACCCAACTCCACGTTCGCCGCCAGTCCTGGGGAGGCTTACCAAATCGGAGGCCGGCTTTATGAGGCAAACTTTGCGAGCACAAGCACGGCCTGCGCAAAGCGAGCAGTTGTTACAAGATGTATAGTAGTGACACCAGAGAACACCATGCGGAGCAGACAACTAATAATAGTCAACATTGAACATACGTGGACCTATTTCATAATTAAATCATGCTCTATATTATTTGTGCGTTCCAGAAAGCCTCACAGACAAGCGCGGTGTGCAACCTGACTTCGCCCAAGCCCGACACCAAACACATTCAGCTCTTGCAAATCTTTCAGGCGGGAACCACCTTCGAGGATGTCAGCATCCCTTTGCTGAAGAATGACATACACTCACAGGCAGAATCCAACTCCAGCAACATGGTAGGCAGAGGATAGCAGACAGCTGATTAGCATTGAGCACGTTTCCTCGTTGCTACCTTTGACGCTTCGAGATATTTGTTATTGACACTTGTTGGCATCGTTTTGCAGGTTTGTTTCGTAGCCAACGCACCAAACAAAAAAGAAAGAGTCTGAACTGATACGCTAGGCCAAAGAAGACGTTATGGCGCGCTTGCCTGGTGAGGCAAGAGTCGAGTAATCCCAGGTCCATTTTCCAGTGGGTCCTCCTTTTGCGTTGATCCCCCACGTTGGCAAAAACTGGCGAGGAACTTGGGAACCATCAGAATGGTGTTTTTGCCATCTGCCGGACATGACATGAGAATTTGGAGCGTCGATTCGCGCGAGGAAGTACAGCCCGGAAGCAAAGCTGCTGCCGCGGAGGATGGGCTTTTTGGAGAGGCTGGGCTCAGTGCATGCAGTGTTTCTGAAGAGGCTGGCGTATTGTGTGAGGTGCCTTCGGTCTATGATGTGCTTCGAAATCAGTTTGCAGACATCAACCGCGAGAACCAGAGGCCTCTCAGGGGGAGAGTGCCCAACGATTCAGACTCCATGCTGACCTTCTAAATCAGCATGAAGACCTTCGCTTTTTTTCTTCGCCTTCGGCGGACACAGACACATCAGATGCCAGGGTTTTCTCGGAAAGGTATGTGACAGTCACGGACTTTATGCAGTTTGTGGAATGGCGAGCTCGGCAGTGTGGTGGGGCCTGGCTGCCCGGCTTTGGCGATGTGTGCGTCATTTTTTGGGATGACTAGCGTGACATCTTTGTTGCTGCAGAGGCTCATTAAAGCCAAGGTTGGCCAGAGAATGCTATGCCGCCATGGCTGTTTCTACAACGCACACCCACATAAGATTATGCATTTATACACTCTAAAGGGACTGGTCGTCTATATGCAAATCTTGCTGGGCCTTTGGCTTTCCTGTTGCGATGCGACCCAAAGCAAGCAAAACGATCAAATTCCGTTGCCACTTTGGGCGCCTTGGCCATTGTCAGGTGCCAGCAGAAAGTGAGCACCTTCTGCAAGAGACGGCAAAACGCAGCGACCTAACCTTTGTCATGTGCAAAACCCAAATCTGGGCTGTTCGACGCGTGTGGTCTAGGCATGGCTTGCTTTCCATGCTTGAGGCTGCTTTCAACAAGCCTCTGTGCGCAGGGAGGGCATTCGGTCAGAGGCGGGCCCTAATTTGCAACGAGCAGCGTCATCCAGTCAATAGCAAAGCCCTCCAACCGAATAGCAATGGCCTCCCTCCCCTCAGAAAGACAGCCATCAGGGCGCTCTTCCTGCCAGGATTGGCTTCACTTTGGGCTCCTGTCCACCACTTCTCCATGGCACCTGAACAGGAGAAAGCCATATCATGTGCCATCGAAGAATGTTTCAGCGTTGCCGCTCTAACTACGAAGAACGAGTTTTAGATCAGACTTGAACTGAAAACTGAACAAACAACTATGATAAAGTATGGAATGACGCCGCTGACCGATAGATTTCTATCCCCTTGCAATTTCTCTGGCCCAAGCTGACCGTTTTGACTCAGCTTCTGCCCTGAGTGATACTCACCCTAAGCACCGTCAGAAATGTCAGGATATCGCCAGGATCGTGAAATCTCAGGGCATACGGCAAGGAACCCACGCCAGCCTGAGGTGAAAACCTCAATGCGTTCAGCTTTGGTGACAGGCCCCGCTGGCGCACGACGCCGGAACCTGGAAAAGAGCGAAGTCACAGCCTTCATGCGTGAAATTGGACTGCCACAATATGCCGAGATTCTGCGTGACCATGGGTTTGAGGACATGGAAACACTCCTTGGTATTGAGGAGGAACACATGCGGGATATCGGCATGCCAGCAGGCCACATTGTGAAGATGAAACGCCATTTGAGAGACTGCCCCCAACTGTCGACTTCTGTGGGCGCAATGACTCCAGTTCAGGTCGCAACCATTGCACGACCTCTCCAAAGCAAGGTCTTTGCGCCTGGTGGGTCGCAGATGACAGCAGTTCAGATGAGTTGGCAGCAAGTGAAACAACTGGGTACCGATGTGGTTGGCGGGCTCTTCTACAAGAAGTTCTTCATACTTGAACCTTCGGCAAAGGCATTGTTCCCAATGAGCATGCGATTGCGATACAAGGACTGGGACACTGATGAGGAGGAGGGAGAAGATCCCTCCAATTCTCCAGCTCTCCGAAAGCTTTGGGCAAAGTTCATCACTGTGGTGGGCAGTGCAGTGGCTGGAATCCAAGATACGGCCAAATTGGTTCCAATGCTGCAGCAACTTGGCATGCGTCATGTTGGATATGGTTTAAAGCCAGAATATTTTGACCTTGCTGGCAAAGTCCTCATTGAAGTGCTTGCTGAGTGGCTGGGTGAAAGCTTCACGAAGGAAGTGGAGAATGCATGGGTCATGGTCTCTGGCTTCATGGTTGCAACAATGTATGGCGGTTATATGGCAGCAGCAGCTGACATCAAGGCCAAAGAGAAGCAGATATTTACTTCAACTGCTTTGAAGGACTATTCACCTCCGGCGTCAACTGCTGGCAGCGAATTCGAGACCAAAACATCTCGCCTGGTGACTCCGTCGGATGATGATGTGAAAGACACGGAACACCCATCTGATCACGATCAGGTTTCCTTCCGCCCAGAACTTAGCTTTGAGGTCCCAACACTCCCACGAGAGATGTGAGGCCATCCAAAGCTTAAGCCACTTGGTAGCGCTGCATGCTGGTAGGTGTGGACTACCCAGGTGCGTCAGCACTGACAATTCCAAAGTCCAAACATCAGCTGACGTGCTTCGTTTTCCAGCTTCAGTGGCAGAATGCGCTTACAGCACATACGCATGCCTCACTTACTTTTCGAGGCATGGGTCAATCGCGCATCCTTTATTTTGCCTAGGCATGTTTCAAGTGCTCAGGCTGCACAATGTGGCGGGCCTGCTCACTTTTGTAAAGGAACAAGAGATGAATTTTACGTAGAGTTCTTGCGAGAGAACAGATTTGGTGATAGCATTTGTGACTCATACTGTTATTTCAATACACAGATGGTCTCGGTTTAAGCGGAGGTGCTTCTGCCCATGGCGGACTCATTGACAGAAACACCACAAGCAAATCACATGACAGGCGCGTACGTCGAGAATTGGTAATCCCGACCTGTTTCATGAAAAAAAGAGAGAACGGGATCTTCAAAATTTCAACGTCTTTTTGCCTCAGCAGGCAGGGGGCAAGAATATCACATGATTTTTGTATTAGGTTGGGGGCCATTGCTATTAGGTTGGTGACCATTGCTAAAATACAACTCTCCAAACGGGTTGGATGGTTGGATTCTCCCAGATGAATTAAGGAAATACCTGATTTCTGTTGGATTGCGGCAGCCATTCTGTTGCCTTTTTTGATCAGTATCACCTACCCCATGGTAGCATTTGAACGCTCAAAGAAGCGGTTGCAATCAACATGACCATGTTGCAGTAACAATGACGCTACTAGCAGCTCCTGGCATCGCTACTAGGAGCAAGGACGCTACTAGGGGCTCCTGGCCTTACTACTAGGAGCAAGAAGCTACTAGTAACAAGGACTTGCAGATGTTGCTTCACCAGGATATAGGTCACGAGTCAGATGCATAAAGCTTGGAGAGCTTGGACATCTTGATGCCAGTCCTTCCGGTGCTTCTGCAATTTGTCCTTGGCTTCTATGTGGCTGCAAAGGATCCAGGCCATGAGGAAACCCGCCAAGGCAGCTGCTTCAATCCTCTCTTTCAACCTCATTGGGCAGGCAAGAGCGACATACGCCATTTGGCCAGCAAACCTACTGTGGAGACATCTTTGAGGCTTTGCCCCTTTTGGAATTCCAAGCCCACTTGCTGCACATTGGCATTTGAACAGGAGCAACAGAGAGCATTTCAGCTGTGGAAGGAGCATTGGAAAGAGAAAGAGCAGCGTTTGGAGGCGTTTTATTCTCAAATGGATGACTTTAGACTGTCTCCTTCGTACCAGCAAGCCTCCTTATTTAACAGGGAGCTTTTTGATACTGCTAAGCTACGCGTCGGCCGGATCATGCAAACCTACGGACTGTGCTTCGATACGCTACTGGAGTATGCTGCGGGCATGCTGTGCTTCCCTTGCCAGCCTCATTGGCATCACCAGGTCTTGATGTCCCAGTTTGCATCAGGCCCTAATCGAGTGGTGAGCTTGAAGATTTCGGAATACTCAAACGATGCACTCTGGGATAGCTGCAAGCCCTTGGCAGAAGCCGCGAAAGAGTTGGATCATCGTATTCAAGATTCTCTCTTGGCTAAAATGATTGAGGATGCCTATGTTGATTTTCACATGTTCTACGATCGCATTCGCATCTCGCAGTACATGGAACAGATTGGACGAGTCATTATGCGTGGCCCTAATGAGCTCACGATCAGGCACAGCCATCATGTGTCACCTCAGCTACCAGGCCTGAAGTCAGACAGGTCACGCTCACGTATTTTAAAGGCCGCTGAAGCCACAAACAAATCAAACACAAGCAGCCACAGGAACGATGAGATTAGTGGCCCTATCAATCCTATTCTGGATGGGCAACGATCTGGCTTTGAATACCGTGTGTTTCCACGACCAGATGTTGACGCCTTTGGCAAGCGGTGCTTTGTTGGTACATGGCTTGTCAGCTTCTTCATGTTGGAGATTTGAGCCACACTGCGACACCACGACACGTGGCAGGCTTGTTCAAAGAGCAACGACAAAGTGGGCCAAAATGAGTATTATGTGCGTCATTCTGACATTCTCTCAATGCGTCCACAAGCTTTTCAGAACTAGTCTCTTGAGCATGTGTCTTCAATTGCTATTTTGGATTCCTGCCTCTTGTCAGGTCAAGAATCCACAATTCCTCAGACAGGTACGTATCATCGTGAAGTTGGGTGGTACAGTGGTCCTCACAGCTTGTAAGCAGCCAGGGGATGTACGGTCGAACGACTTGCAAGGTGCTGCATGCTTTTGAAACAGCTGATGTTCGAGGTGCGGCCAGCTTTCGGCAAAGCGCTCAAGGAACTGCATGGACTCTGGACTCATCAAATAAATCAAAAAGAGCCAACGTGGATTCCTTGGGCAGTATCACTCAGTATCCCAAATAGGAGAATGAGACTCATGTAAAAACTTAAAGCATATTAATATATAAATAAATACCAAGCATGCTTACTACACCTGGTCTCTTGAAGAACCGTCGATGGGAATCCTTGGAACCACCTGCTCAAGTCCGGGCTTGTCGAACCAGAAATGGTGTCAAATTGAAAATACTTGAAATCTAAGTTGACACCATTTCGATTCTTTATAGCAAGAACCAAGATGCCGCTTTGACCAAAGTCCTCCCCAGAGACCCGTGAGGTGAAGGTCGCTTGCACATCAGCAACATCAAGGCACACGCCTGTCGCAGTTTCCTAGCTGAACGAAAAACGTGCGGGATTAGTCAAATGTGCCATAGTTGCTACGACGCTGCGATGCGCTTGGTTTCTGGAATCATTATCCTTCGTGTGTAGACTCTATAGACTCTAGAAGCTCACCCGCTCTTTTGAGATTTTTTTGCAAGCAGGATGCATGCATCACCATGTATCTATAGCTGGTTAGAAGCCTCACGATACACTGTACTGGTTGCTGCCTATAGATTAGATAGTAGTCTGTTTTCTTTGGACTTTATGGGCCCTTTGATGGGGCAAGGGATAGCAGCAGGTAGCATGCTTGACCACTCGCATACGAATCCGTAAATAATCAACTGTCGTGTGTCAGTCAACTACACAGGCAAGTTTCCTGAACTGCGATGAGCTGGTATCACAGGCCAGGCAGCATATGTTGTGATTTTCGCATGTTGCGGCAGAGGTGAAGCTGTTCAAAACAAAGGCGTGTGATCAGATGCTGATGCCCTCTCCTTGCTCGGTTTTCTTTTGGTTGCTAACTTGCTGTTGCAGAGAATTGGTGCGCTCGGTTCCTCGTTTCCAGTGTGCCTAGTTTGCACCGCAGAGGATCTTCCCGGCTCAGGTAGAGCTGGCGGCAAAAAATCCGGGTCAAAGTGAGGAGCGGGGAAAACACATGGGGCAGGGCTAAATTTGAGGTACTGTAGTTGTGCTGGAGTGCGCAACGTGTTGGTGCAAACATGATCAAACATGCTTCGATAGCAGCAACAACGACGGAGGACGAACAGCTTTGCAGTATTCATCCGCAGCCTTGGATGACAGTAAGCATACACACACACACACACTTTCACCATCACATTGAATGTTCCCCTATCCACATCAATGCGTTATCAAAGTGCTGTTGTTTTTTTTCCCACTTTCCAGGAACTTGGGTACTACGATTTTGTCGCGTATTGATTTGGCCTTAGTGCATAAGCTCCTCCTTGTCCGTGTGGTGTTTGCAGAGGCCATTTTTGTCTCGTCACTTGAGCTGTTTGCCAATAATCAGATTTGGTATGATTTGGTATTCATTAAGTACGAATGACGCCTGTCACGTTTTTTGCACCAACTCTCTATGTCCTGATATCACTCACTACTGGATACGCTGGGCGAAGATCTTCGGATCCTCAAACATAGTCCGTGAAGCCATTGGAAGTTTGCCTAAACATGATTTGGAAGCTGTTTGAGTTCGCTTGAGCTTTGCTATCCTTGTGGGATTGTTCTCAGGATTGCACTTTTTAGGTGGCCTTTAAGGGAACCACACCTGCAGTCACTCGCTAAGGTTTGGGATATCGGCGATCATCGGTTAAGTTGAATTGGTGCGTTGCCCAAATCTTTAAACTCGAGAGGACAGGGTCTTGGAAAAGACATGCATGACAATGTGCGGTGCTGTGTCGTTTGCCACGACATGCTTTGCTTGCAACTCTCCTGTGGTTGGAGGCCATCGCTATCGCTCTTAGCTTAGAGGCCATCGCTAGTAGGTTGGATGCCATCGCTATTAGGTTGGAGGCCATTGTTATTAGGTTGGGAGGCCATTGGGATTAGGTTGGAGGCCATTGCTATTAGGTTGGAGGCCATTGCTATTCGGTTGGAGGCGATCGCTATTAGGTTGGAGGCCATTGCTGTTAGGTTGGAGGCCGCTGATAGACTGGAGGCCATTGCTATAGGTTCGAGGCCATTGCTATTTGGTTGGAGGCGATCGCCATCAGGTTGGAGGCCATTGCTTATTAGGTTGGAGGCCATTTCCTTTTGGTTGGAGGCGATTGCTATTACGTTGGAGGCCATTGCTATTAGGTTGGAGGCCATTGCTAGTTGGTTGGAGGCGATGGCTATTAGGTTGGAGGCCAAAAGGTTGGAGG